GTGTGTGTGTGTGTGTGTGTGTGTGTGTGTGTGTGTGAGTGTGTGTGTGTGTGTGTGTGTGAGTGTGAGTGTGTACGTGTGTGTCTGTGTGTGTGAGTGTGTCTGTGTGCCTGTGTGCTAGAATATACGGTCTGTACAGTATAAAAACCATTACGCCTATGGAGAGACCCCACTTTTCACAAATGTAAACGTGAAATGAGTGTGAGTGAGGGTGAGTGAGATTGTGTGTGTGTGTGTGTGTGTGAACATCTGCTTATTTTACATTTAAACTGCATATATGCATTTGGCAAACACCTAATTTTAGGGAATTTTTTAGAAATAGTACTTCACTGCTATAGTTACGTATTATTTTTGGGAATCTGTATTTTACTTGAGTTCTGTTAACTGAATACTTTTACTAGGTAAAAATACTTTAAAAAATACTTACTACATTACGATTTCTGGACTTAAAAGTGCAAAGTATATATATATATATATATATATATATATACACTCTTAAAAATAAAGGTGCTTCACGATGCCATAGAAGAACCTTTTTGTCTAAATGGTTCCATAAAGAACCTTTAACATCTGAAGAACCTTTCTGTTTCACAAAAGCTTCTTTGTGGCGAAAGAAGGTTCTTCAGATTATATAAAGCTAAGAAAGAGATGTTCTTTGACTGAATGGTTCTTTGTGGAACCAAAACTGGTTCTTCTATTGCATCGCTGTGAAGAACCTTTTAAGCACCTTTATTTTTAAGAGTGTATGTCATGTGACTTAAAGCTTTTCTCAGTTATATAAAATTTAAAAATAGCATTTTTCTATATCCTGATGCGACTAAATGATCGTAAGGTGACTAAATGACAGAATGTTCACTTTTGAGTGAACTAAATCTTTCTGACACAGACTTGTTTTTATAATAACTGTCGCAGTCTAGAAATAGTCTAAAAATCACTATATTCAAATGTCAAACCACAGTGAAATCATCTGCTGCTAATATTCAGGTAACATGTTTCAGTTTGACATCTGCTGTTGCAGATAATCAGACAAATGAGAAAATAGCAATTTCAACAGGTTTCTTTATAATATATGTGCATTATAAATATTAAAATCTCTACTGCCTCGTTTTCAAAAGTCACTTTATAAAGCTGAGAAAGTTCTTACTTTTTTCACTTGAATGTAAATAGTTTTAACTTTTTCTCTTGCATTTTTTTTGATAGGTACCAATAATTTAGTAAAAATATTTTTAACATAGTATCTGTACCTGTTACACTGAAAAAAATCCTTAATCAGTGTTTTAATCTTGTTTTTCAGTGCAAAGCATTCTTAAATCGAGATACATTTACTTGAGAAGGAATATGACTATTAGTTAAATTAAATAATAATATATTAAATAATTCAAAGAGAAAACAAGATTATAATGATGGTTGTTGTTTATTTATTTTATGTATTCATTTATTTTCTGACACAGTTAACACATTTTTTCTTGCTTTAATCAAAAACTCACTTAATTTATATGCATTTTTTTTCAGAAAACAACACTTTGAATATCATTCAAGTCATTTTGCTCCTCAAGTAAATGTATCTTCATTTAAGAATTTGTAGATATTTGTACTGGAAAACAAGACAAAATTATTATGGGAGGCCATCTTTTTTTGCACTGTACATTTGCATTGGTTGCAAGTGTGATTCTAAAGCAGTTGAGCTTCAGAATCAGCTTTATTTGTTATTATTGAATAAGTGCATAATTGTCTGCAGATCGAAGGACATCGAATCGACCGGTTTTAACGGCACCGCGGCGTTCATGGAGGTTCGGGTTCAGTCCATCGTGGTGGAGTTTATTCTCACTCACGTGGCCGAGGTTTTCTCAGGAACTGGTATTTCATCTTCCTTAAGAAACCCTTTGTGTTTTATGTTATTTTCATCATCCTCAGTATTACGTGTGCCAGTTTTCTCAGTTGTAAAATGTTGATGCTATTGTTTTAATACAGGATTGTCTGTGGAGCGCCGGAAGTCCCTCCCATCTCCCTCAATACTGTCCACTCAGGACGATCATTTCTTCAAGTCTTTACCGTTACACTGTCCAGGAAACCTCAGTCCAGGAGACGGACCTCCGCCAATGCGACCGTACCACGCTATTATTGACGGCACTGACAAGTAAGACTGAAGAGACATAGTGCTTCTGAGTGTCCAATGCTATGAAGTAGTAGTGATAGTTTAAATTTAAACTGCATTTGAAACATGTTAAACTGAGTTTGAACATGGTGAATGATGTCGCCATCTAGGGGTCAGAAAGATGAACAGCACCTGTGCTTCATTCACATCTGGCTCTGCAACTGATTCTTCATAAATGTTTTGTTTTTGTTATTATTAATGACCTAATTCTTAATTGATTTTATTTTACTTTACAGTATTTCATTTTGTTTTATTTTATTTTACATCAATTTTTTGTTTGTTTTACATTTACATTTTAATTTATTTTATTTTAGATTATTTTACTTTACTGTACCATACTTAATTTAACTTAACTTAGTTTGTTTGTTTGTTTATTATTTTTCATTTTATTATTATTTTTGTGTTGTGCGCACTGCCCACAAGGCTATTGGCGCCAACATTATTATTATTATTTTTTTTTTTTTAATCTTTATTTAACTTTATTTTATTAACCTTAACCCAACTGTAACATCACTACTATAAAGTATGTGAGATTAGGATTTGTTCATCCCTAACAGAGTTGAGAAAAGTAAGCCAAAGTTTAAGTAATAATGATTTTTGAAGATAATTTAGTTAGATGGTAATGCTTTTACTTTTATATTTTATTTATTTTATTTTACATTTATTAAAAAATTTTATTTTACTTTTTTAAAATAAAATAAAATTTAATTTAATTTAACTGTAACTACTATAAAATATTAGGATTAGTGCCTTCCCAATAAAGTGAGTTGAGAACAATAAGCAGAGGTGTAAAGAGTACCTAAAAACCATACTTGAGTAAAAGTACAGATACCTTACAGAAGCCTTCTTGCAGTGGATGTGCTGGTTTGGGTTCATTGCCGGCTGCAGTCATGTCCTCATCTCATATATAAAACACCTCTGATTCACAAATACTTGCTAAGGAACTCGCATTCACATAAAGTAGCCTTGTTGACAAGTTTGGGTGAGTAAGGGCAAAACGCAGTGCTTGCAGTGACCTGTAGCAGGCAGTATCAGGTCTTTTGTAGCAGAAATAAACTGGCAGCTAGGTCCATGCAAAATGTAATGTGTAACTCCAACACTCATTTCAAATGTAGTGAAGTAAAGAGTACAGATACTCATTCAGAAATGTAGTGGAGTAAAGAGTAAAAGTTGCTAATATCTTTGATACTCAGTACAACTACAAAGTACCCGAAAAGATACTCAAGTACAGTAACTAAGTACATTTACTCCAATACTTTACACCTCTGACAATAAGCCAAAGGTACCTAAAAGTTAAATAATAATGAATACAAAAATAATGATACTGATGCTTTCATGTAAATGCTAATAGCATCAAGACACAATTATGAACTGTACTCTTTTATTACATACTCGAAAGTACCAGTGAAGTATGTACTTTAAGTGCATCATAGACGTGTGCTTGTTGAGATGTAGCCATTGTCATCCATTAATTTTTATTTTATTTTATTTTATTTTACTTTATTTTATTTTATTTTATTTTACTTTTTATTTTATTTTATTTTTTTATTTTATTTTATTTTTTTCATTTTTTTATTTTTTTATTATTTTATTTTATTTTATTTTATTTTATTTTATTTTATTTTATTTTATTTTATTTTATTTTATTTTATTTTATATTTTATTTTATTTTATTTTATTTTATTTTATTTACCATCTGTGTTGTGTTCAGGAGGAAGGGCTCCCTCAAAGGAAGGAAGTGGAAATCCATCTTTAATTTGGGCGGGAGACTCCAAGATCCACGCAAGAAGAACAAATACTGTACTAAAGGTGCGAGGGTCTGACTGTAAACCAAGTAACAGCTGAATTATAGAGTATTCTGGAAATGCAAAATGAATTTTTGCATGACTGAAATCAACAGATAATTGACTACAAATGTTTCCTCTCTCACATCTAATTCATAGCTTTTGTTTCTCATTATATCTTCTAAATGCACAGATAAAGAAAAGACAGCTCTGAGGCCGGCGAAGAGCATGGAAACTCTGAGCTCAGGTCCTTATGCACTAGACGGTATGAAGAGCGTTTCATCATTTGCTCATCAAAGAATAAAGATTCATCTATATATTTCAATCTCATAGTCATATTTCATCTGAATTTACTGCAGTAAGATATTAGATGCACATTTCTTGGTGTTTAACATTACCTTATTCACCCCACTGAGTGTATTTACTCTACCTTAATTTTGAATTTGTACAATTATTTAAAAAAGCATCCAAAAGCATTAATAAATATGCAATACACCATTTTATTAATTGACAAAGATTTTTAAATATTATATCATTCTATTTTTTTATTCTTTTTTTTTTTGAGCTCAACCTAATTAGAGATTTTTTATTTTTATTTTGAACATTCATTAACCTAATTTATATGCACATAGTTTTCTATTTAAGGAACATATTCTCATTATTCTCATGAACATAATTAACACTATCTTTTAAAAAAAAATGTTACAAAAAATTCTGTTTCACATAAATGCTGTTCTTTTCTTCTGTGAATCCTGAAAAATTAATTGTATAACGGTTTCCACAAAAATATTGGGCAGCACAACTGTTTTCAACATTGATAATAATCAGAAATGTTTCTTGAGCAGCAAATCAGCATATTAGAATGATTTCTGAAGATCATGTGACACTGAAGACTGGAGTAATGATGCTGAAAATACAGCTTTGATAACAGAAATAAATTACAGTTTGAAAGATATTCACATAGAAAACAGCTATTTTAAATGTTAATAATATTACACAATTTTTACAATATTTTTTATCAAATAAATACAGCCTTGGTGAGCAGAATAATAATAAATCAACCTCAAACCTTTGAATGAACACAATCTCGTGCCACTATTATTTTGTTTGTCTCTCAGATTCCAAACATCCTCCTCCTCTGGTTTTGTCCACGGTGTCAGGGAGCTCAGAGGGCGTGGCTTCTGCCGGCGGGGGCGTGTCCAGTGGATACGCGGTGACCTACAGGCGAACGGGCGGAGCTCAGGTCAGCATGGTGAGTGGAGGGACTCCAGGAACTTATAACCGTCTGGAGTCTGGGGGAGGAGCCGAGGGCGTGTCTCAGGGCATGGCCAGATCGCCCGGAATGACCAGCAAAGCAGACCGGCGCGCTGGGATACACATATCAGGGCCATTTTCAGTGACCGTCCCGCTTCATATAACGTCTGGACTGGCTCTGGGTGTCCTGCACGGTGGCTGGAACGATAAGGAACAACCCCTACAAGGAGACGAAGCAGAAGATGAGGACGTTAAGAGCATAGAGACGGAGTCCACAGATGGGAATCCACAGAGCAAAAATTATAATGGTCAAGAGAGGGAAAGAGAAACCAATAGTTATGTGGAAAGTCAGGTGGATTGTGGGAAGGATATGGCAGAGCTTACAAGAAATGAGAACAATGTGCCAGAAAAAAGAGACTCACCATGTGGCAAAGAAGCAGAGAAAGAAAATCTGAGTCAGAATCAAGAGTCTATGAAGGAAAATGTAAAAGACACACAACCACAAAACAAAGAGGAAACCACAGAAGAGGATTACGTGGGTAAGAGAGAAATATTGAGATTATTATTCACTGACATGTAAATCTGAGCATTCTGATGATCACGTGCAATTTAGTTTTTTTTTGGTAATGTTTTCATAAATTAAGGCAAGACACTGCAGGTGAATAGGGTAAAACATGTCTGTATTAGTTTTCTGAAATGCTATGTTTAAATATGCAAAATATGCACTAATTTGCATACATTTCCACAACAGAAATCTGAACATTGGTTCAAAATTATTGTTTGATTTTGTTGACATATTAGAGTTAAAGGTTTTAAGGAGATTTGTATTTCTCTTTTTATCACTCCATAAATCAGAAAATACTTTCAACATTTTTACAAATATTTTTACCACGTGTTTAGGAGTAAAATGTCACATAAATCAGTGAGAATGATATATGAACAAACCTCTCAGTAAAAGCCTTCAGAATATAGAGAGGAATAAAATTCTAAGTTTTGGTGTTTGTAAGTGCTGTTGAAGTGGAGAAAAAACTCACCACCTTTAAAGATATGCATGTTCGCCATGTTTTCAGGAATAATATGTTATAAATATCAGTGTGAATGTTATATGAACAAACCCCTCAGTAAAAACCTTCAGAATATTGATAGAAATAAAACTGTAAGTTTTGATGTTTGTAAGTGCTGCTGAAGTGGAGAAAAAACTCACCACCTTTAAAGATATGCATTTTCGCCATGTTTTCAGGAATAATATGTTATAAATATCAGTGTGAATGTTATATGAACAAACCCCTCAGTAAAAACCTTCAGAATATTGATAGGAATAAAACTGTAAGTTTTGGTGTATGTAAGTGCTGCTAAAGTGGAGAAAAAACTTTCAAAGATGTGGATTGTAATTGAAATCTACAGACACAAATATTTAAAGTGTTGTAAAATAAACATCTATAAGTGTATCTTAGAAGTTTTTTTCCTGAAAAAAAAACATTGTTTACATAATCTGAAAGAAAACACTTGAAAATTGACCAGTGCATGAAAAAAGTTTTTGCCTGTAGAGTCTCACCTTAAGTATTTATTTTATTGCACTTTATCTAGCCTATTTGTGTTCGTAGATTTGAATTACAATCCATGTCTTTGAAAGTTTTTTCTCCACTTCAGCAGCACTTACATACACCAAACCTTAGAGTTTAATTCCTCTCTATATTCTGAAGGTTTACACTGAGGGGTTTGTTTATATATCATTCAAACTGATTTATACTTTTAACATTTTATTCCTAAAACATGGTGAAAATGTTTTTTTTTCTGTCTATTGACAGTATTTTCTGATTTATGGAGCGATATCGTCTCTAATATCAATCAAACAAGAATTTTGAACCAACGTTCAGATTTCTGTTCTGCAAATTTATGTAATACAAAAATTGTTAACTATTCTTAATGTAATCAAATCAAATTGGGGAAGTATGGTGAGATATGATGGGTGTCTTGCCTTAAATGTGTGGGATGTTTTCTTTCCACTGAAATAACACTTTATGAAAAGCCAAACAGCCCAAAATAATAATAAAAAAACTGATCAGTGCATGAAAAAACAATGTTTTTGCCTGTAGCGTTTTGCCTTAAACCTTCAAGTAAATTTTAACTCCTCGTTACTTGAGCTCCTTGAGGAAAGAGTGTGGTAGAAAATTAAGGCAAATGTAAATGTGTTTCCCACAGAAATGAGAGGACACCTCCATCAGGAACCCATCAGTCAGCACTATTACGAGGACATGGAGTTTCCAGACCCGGATCTGCCACTTGATTTCCAGGAAGCTTTCGGGTTCTTGGATTTGATGGACAGCTGTGCTGCAAACCCGGTGTGTTCATGCATGTGTGAATGAAGAAATGAATGAGTGAGAAATAACAGTCTTGTGACAACCGTTCACATAAGAGTAGGGATGTAACATTTAACCGCGAGCCGGTCGAAAATCGATTCAAATATGTGATGATTCAAATCGGTTGAGATGCCAAACAAATCGCGATACAATTGTAGTAGGAGTTTATATGAATGTATCTCTGAGGGGAAATTACTATCTTTAGAAAAGTTTACATGGTATTTTCTTTTCATCTTGCCTCTGAACAATGCATATTAAAGTAGCGTTCATAAGCGCAGCTCTGCTTTGTTTACAGCGGTAACCAAGGAAACACTGTATTGTTGCTGTTCATAAGCGCAGCTCTGCTTTGTTTACAGCAGTAACCAAGGAAACACTGTATCATTGCTGTTCATAATCGCCACCTGCTGTCAGAGAGTGAATTTGCGTCTCATTCAGCTCGTCTGCTGTTTCGTTCAGATATGTTTTATGTAGTATAGTTTCACAGAAATGAAGTCAGACCATTCTGATTTTGCTTCAAAGTTCGAAATTATACAGATTAAAAACTACTCATGCTGCATGTATGCAGCATCTTTGTTTGGATCATGATTAAAATGCAGTGGTTGCCTCTAATTTTAAATGGAAAGCACAGACAAAACCTTAGTTTGTTCATATTAAGAGATTTATTTTATTTGTGTAACTTGTTTGATTTGGGGTTTATTTTAAAATTTCAATTTAGTTTTGTTATATTTCAATTTCACAAAGAAACGTGCAGCAATAGCCTAATAAATCAACACCTTTTAATTTACTGTATAATGTCTTAAATCTCATTTTGTAAAAAACAAAATCGTGAGAAAATCGAATCGTGAGTTAAGTGAATCGTCACATCCTACATAAGAGATTTGACTAACGCTTACTGCTGATTCCAACAGTACATAGTACACACAAATATTTGGTCAATTGAAATTAACTCTTTCCCCGCCATTGACGAGTTATCTCGTCTATTACAAGAAAACACTTCCCCGCCAAAGACAAAACCTCCCGAACAAAAACACACGCCAACAGGACGGAGAGACGAGCGATCTCTTATGTAAACAGATGCATATGAAAAATAATGCGATCATCAGCAATAGACAGCATATAAACGAAAACTGCATAATGTTACAGAGTAAAATGTTAATCCAGGATGTCTGTGCAAGCTTTGGAGGTGTTGATGGAAGCGATTTACTGGATTTATGCTTTGATAATCGTACTGAATATCATCCAGATGTAGTTTTTGATAAAAATGTGATTTTCTCACCTTTTTGCTCAAAATTATGCATTTTTATGAAACTCAAATATTTTTATGAAAATTTCCCTATGTAAGGGAAACATTTTAGCTCAAAGGGAATCATTTAAGATTTTAAAGGGAATTTGGACAGAATCACTGTTTTACGGCTGATCACTGAGATGGCCAGCGATTCATT